GCCCCCTCGGGGGGCGCACACACACCCCCGGGGGGCCCCCATGATGGGGGGGCCCCCTGCTGCGCTGCTGCTGCTGCTGCTGCTGCTGCTGCTGTTGCTGCTGCTGCTTTAGTTTGTATGCGGTGGAAGGTGTCGCCGCCGAAGGGCTGAAAGAGGCCAGCAAGAGAGAGGCCGGTGAGGAAGGCAATCTCTCGCTTAGCTGTGTCTGAGCCCGTGACGATGATGTAGGGGGCGAAGGTGCGGGATAGCCAGGCTCGTCTGTTGTTTCTGATGGTTTCTTGCTGCTGCTGATGGTTGTTCTGCTGCTGCTGCTGCTGCTGCTGCTGCTGCTGCTGTTGCTGCTGCATCGTGAACAGGACAGCTGCAGCAAGAAGAGGATATAAACACCATGGGGTGATGCAGTACACACACACAAAGAATTATATATGCGGCAACAATATACAAATACTAATACTATAACAACGAGGGTTTAGGGTTTATTAGGGTTTAGGGTTTATTAGGGTTTAGGGTTTGTTGTTGCTGGGGCCTGACTGGTTGCTGCTGAGCAGTCAACTACACCTATCCATCGAAATGGGAGTAAAATATATTTAATTTATTAATTTTATTGTTTAAAATAAACAAAAAAGAAATAAATTTATACACAAAACGCAACAACAAAACCCCCAGCCTGCACGCTCAGCACACTGCCGAACGGCGGCGTTGCGGGCCCCCCTTAGCTGAAACAGAGAAAAAAAGAAAGAATATAAAAAGAGAAATATATATTAAATTAATTAAATAACTCAATTTTCTTTTTTTTTTTATAAAAATACAACACAAGATAGCAGAAAGGCTACACAGACACCGCAGCGCATGCCGCCAGCCCGCCGCCATGAGCCACGAGCAGGGGGGGTGTATTGTGTGTTTTTTTTTTTTTTGTTTTTTCTGTTTTCTTCTTTAAATATAAATTATTTTTTGTTTATTTATGACTCTAATTGTTTTAAATAAGCTAAGAAGAAGGGCTTTTGTTGCTGTATTCGCTCTGAGCTCGATGCACTGCCTATACACCCCAGTATATCTCTCTGCTCCTCCTCTTC